GTTCCAATAACTGCAACACGTTTATTTGTAAAATCAATATTTTTATTCCATTCAGCTGTATGACACATTTGACCTTGAAACTTATCAATACCAGGAATATCATTTGGATAAGATGCATTCGATAATGGTCCATAACCAGCTATAATAAACTGAGCATAAATTTGTTTTTCTTGATTATCTGATGATTGTATTGTTATTTCCCACAGTTGTTTATCATCAATCCATTTGAGTTTTGTAACTGTTGTATGAAATTTAATATGTCGACGAATATCATATTTATCTGTACAATGTTCAAGATAATCACCTATTTCAGTTTGTCGACTAAAAAAATAAGACCAATTTGGATTAGGCTCAAATGAAAATGAATAAAGATTTGATGGAACATCACATGCACATCCTGGATATTTATTCGCATACCATGTACCACCAACATGCTCATGACGTTCGATTACAATAAAATTATCAGTACCTAATTGTTTTAATTTAATAGCCATACCTAAACCTGAAAATCCAGAACCAATAATAAGAGCATAATATTCATCTTCTTTTTGATTTGTTGTAACATGAAGTTTTCGATTTGTTTGTCGATTACCAAAGCCACACAGATCAAATATAAACCAGTAGAAAAAGTGACCAATAAAGCCAATAATTACTGTTACGCCCATAACAATATATGTCACAGAAAGTAATAATAATATCCAAAGCATGTTCCAAATATTGCCTTTCATGATAAATATAAAACAACTTTTATCTAACAGGTGACTACTTGCGAGATGGACGATAAAATAACAGGCAGTAGTTGTGTTAATAGTTGGATATCAATCTTTACCTGGTTGTGCAATTTTGCTTTCGAGCCACACAAATGTTTGTATAGAAAGGAAAAATACGGGCACGTGTGAAAATATTTACCTTTATTGTGTTGCTTTCCATGTTGTCTATCTCTACAAGATTTTAATAATCGTAGCAATACACATTCGACTATAAACATATCGAAATTCATTATAGTATCTCTGTTTGGTATAGGAATCCCTATCTTCTGCCAAATTCATTCTCAAATAAAAAAAATCGCATATTCTTCATGTATCGGAATGATACTAATTTTGTATACGTTTCAAAATGTTTAATTTAAATCTCAAAATGTTCTACGTAAATACCGATGGGGTCCATGCCCAACACTTATGAGAGAATGTCTGTTTTCTAAACAGTTGATAGGGGTCATAGATCCTCTTTCGTTGAGATATCAAATAAAGAATAATTATCTCATTCAATTTTTTTTTTGCTATAGATAAATATGAAGAAGTTTTGTTGAAAAAGCAAAGAATAAATATCTATCTACAAAAAAAAAAAACAAAAAAACAGATAATCGAAAAACGATCATTCTTAAAGACTTTTATGTTCCGATAGATCAATAAAAAACAAACTTCATTACTCTCTTATAATAACAGAAGGGTTTTATCAAAAAATTTTGTAACAAATAGCATAAAAAATATCATGATAAGCTTTTATTTCTAAGAAAACAAATGTTAGAAATCCTTATTCAATTCAAACAAACAAATGGTGATCAGCTAAAAATATAGTTCTTAGAATCAAAACTTTTCATGAGTAATATATAAATCCATGTAAAATCAGGCCAAATTGTTGTATTATTTCCTTTTGCATCTTGATACCATGAATGACAACCACCACTTTGCCATACTGTTTTCTTCAATTTTGATTGCAATTTATGATTAAATTCATCATGTGCATTTTGTTTAACATCGAGCATTCGAACATTCTTCTCGTCCACGTATAAAAGAGCTTCAGCAATATAATGTATTTGTGCTTCAATCATTACTATAACTGAATTATGACCAAGACCAGTATTTGGACCCAGAAGAAAGAATAGATTTGGAAAGTTTGGTACAGTTACACCACGATATGCCTTAATGAGATTAGAAATATATTCAAATAATTATCTTCGAGAAAAAAGAAATACGTACTTGCATAGTTTCCGACCATTGTTCATGTAATGCTCGACCATTAATTCCATAAATAGGTAATGGAAAGTGTTGAACTTGAAATCCAGTTGACCAAATAATAATATCCACTGGATATTCATCGCCATCACGAGTAACTATTGAATTTGATTTTATTTCTTGAATACGATTTGTAACTACTTTAACATTCGGTTGTTGTATTGACGAATACCAATCATTGGACAATAGAACACGTTTACAACCTAAATCATATGATGGTGTTAGTTTTTTTCTTAACTCTTTATCTTTAACTTGATGTCGAAGATTAAATTTAACAAGTTCTTCATTAATAAATCGAACAGGTAAACGATAAGTAAATGAGAGTACAGTTGATTCACGTACCCAATAAACTAAAGCACGAATAAATTTTTGAATAATTGGAAATCGTTTAAAAAGTCGTTTTTCAAATTTAGTAACAATTCGATCAGCTCGTGGTATAATCCATGGTGGTGTACGTTGAAAAACAAGTAATTGTGT